TCAGCAGAGCTGATTGATAGTGTTTTAGAGTTGGTTAGCGCTGTGCATTTCAGCATACTTAGTTTTTTCCAACACCAGATCAGTTTTGAGTGCAGAAAAATGAATACATTTTCCACAGCTCTAACTCATCAACGTATTCTATTTTTAGGTTAGGATTTAAAAAAAAAGTCCCTGAAGGATTTGGTCACACATCTTATCTGATTTAATATTACTGAGAAGGTGTAACCCTTCTCGCCGCTTTTGAGAATACAGAATACGTTTTTGTAATAAAACAATTGCCTTACATAAAAGCTGAATGGACCTAAAGGGCTAACTGTCTGTTATGGATCTGACAGGAATGCTGCTCTTCTTGGATTTGTGCGGGTTACTATATAATGTTAATATAAAATGCGTGACAATGTTTGCATTATTTGCATAGAACATGAGAACGTTGAGCTAACTATTCAATGTATGATATTTTAGTAAAGTATTTTGTTACCATAGTTTTGTATGTTCACTTCTTCTTGGTTGTGAAGGTATTAAAATCTTGAGATGGAGTCAAGTTAGGAGGCTTCTTATTTTTCCAGTAAAAATGAATAGAATCATAGAATCGTAAGATCATTGAGTCCAGCCATTAGCCCAGCACTGCCAAGTCCACCACTAAACCATGTCCCTAAGCGCCACATCCTTTAAATACCTCCAGAGATGGTGACTCTACCACTTCCCTGGGCAGCCTGTTCCAATGCTTGAAAACCCTTTCAGTGAATAATTTTTTCCTAATACAATCTAGACCTCCCCTGGCACAACTTGAGGCCATTTCCTCTCATCCTGTCACTTGTTTCTTGTGAGAAGAGACTGACACCCACCTCACTAAAACTTCCTTTCAGGTAGGTGTAGAGAGCAATAAGATCCCTTCTGAGCCTCCTTTTCTCCAGACTAAACAACCCCAGTTCCCTCAGTTACTCCTTGTAAGATTTGTGCTTTACACCCTTCACCAGCTTCGTTGTACTTCTTTGGACATGCTCCAGCACCTCCACATTTTTCTTGGAGTGAGGGTCCCAGAACGGAACACAGTATTCAAGGTGCGGCCTCCCTAGTGCCAGGTACAGGGGACAATCACTTCCCTAGTCCTGCTGGCCACACTGTTTGTGATACAAGCCAGGATGCTATTGGCATTCTTGGCCACCTGGGCACACTGTTGGCTCATATTCAGCCAGCTGTCAACCAACAGCCCC